AGAGCAGAGTAGTCGGGTTGAAAGACCGATGTGGCGGAGCAGCTGCTGAGTAGGACAGCCAGGTCACTGGTCTCGTAAGTTGGCGAGACAAAAGCACAGTTTGGTCGTGAGGGCGCGCCAGAATGATTGCGCAGAGCGTCGGTAATAAAGCCAGTCGTCAAGATGCGATCCATCCAGTTCACCAGAGCGGCGTTATAGAGACCAGCTGCAGGCATAGAGAAAAAGTCTAGTGAGAACGTAGTCACAGGACTTACTCCAAACCGATCGAGAGCCTTGCCAGCGCGGTAAATTGATGCGCTTTAAAAACCTCATCAAATTTCGCTAATAGGATGATGCTGATGATGACGATGATGAAGGTAATGATGCAGAAAAACGGCCAAATAGCCAGAGAAGACACCATCAACTCGGTCAAGTTTGCAGCAGAGAAAGGCTCAATTAGGAACAAGCTGGCAGTCCGGACGACGGTGAAGATAGCTTAACCTGTCTGCATATTACGTTGAAGTCTGTAAAACACTGACTTAACTTAAACTTCTGTACCTTCACACATGAAATATTGGAAGAAAATTGGTTTACGTTTAGTGGGTATACACTTTGAATGCTTTTAAAACAATTCGAAATACAAAAGATATCGAATAAAAGCGGCAAAAAGTATATTTATTTTAAAAAAACACGAAAAAAGTAAAAGTAATACATAGTAAATAGATTAATCGAATATAAAACAGTAAAAATAATGAAACAACCGTAAGCCTACTTTTAGCCAACCCAGTAAAACCTATGTGGGTTTTTCAAACTGTTGAACAGAGTTCATAAAGCAGAGTCAGCACTTACGAGTTAAGTTATTTCCAGGTATCTGTGCAGACCATACTCTGACTCAAGCTTGAACAATGTGGGTTGTTGCATTCGTTTTCAGTAGTCGTATAAATTCAATCTATAGGCATTGACGTCATCTTGAGTGGTTCATTCAAATCACCTTCGATTGCCTTTTCCGCTTCAAGCGCGGGTCACAACAGTACTAAAAATCACATAGGTTAAGACCCTTTCCCACGACCAGGAACGAACATTTCTGGGTGGCTGTGCCCCCAGTTGTTCCACACATGGGTATAGCCCCGAGGTCGGCAAACTATGGCTCTTTTGATGATTGCGGAGGGCTCTCTCAGAAAATTCAGATTTTATGTGTATGGTAAGAAAAAAGGATCTGTGGCGCTTCTCTGTGAACATGAAAATAGACCCATCGTACGTTTCCAATGCATTCTACACCAGGAGGCTCTTTGTGCTCAGATATGTGACGGGCAGCTTGGGCGAAGTGATGTCACTGGTCATTCGTATAAACAACTTTATTGTTGCCCGAGCCTCAAATGATCGACGGTTTAAAACACTGCTGGATGAAGTTGGAAATAACTATCACGGTCTGATTTTG